AGCAGGATGTTTTTCCAGAAGTAAAACAGACTATGCCTGTCCATGCAGTTTTGCAAAGATACTCCTCACCTGGCACACAAGTCTGACCCTTGCTGTCCCTGGAGGGGGTTCAAAACTGAGGTTTAACTGTGATGGTGACGTGCTGAAGGTCTTTAAATCACATGCAAACTGTGAGACTGAAGGGGGGGTTCTCCTGGACTGGTGTTCAAAAGCAGCAACCCCCATTTTTCCTGATATTTGGACCAGGAGCTTCCTGCAGTGGTTGTAGCAGGGTGTGTTTCTGCAGAGCCTCCTGTATGCCAGAGTTCATCTCCACAGCATCCTCTGATCTGGGAAGTCTCTGCTGGGCTGCTTTGCTGCTGGGGCTACTGCAGTGGGCTGGCATGGGGAAATTAGAGCTAGCCCTGTGCAGGCTGAGTGATTTTACCTGTGTCTGAAGGATCTGTTTGCAGCTCTGCAGTGTTTTCCCACACTTTCTCTGAATTGGCATTTTAAAAGTCAGAGAAACTGCTCTGTGAGTATCTTTCAGCCCTGGAAATAAAACTCAAGCAAAGACAGGTGCCCAGCATATGTTATTCCACAGTATGGTCACTGAAAGCTCCTTTTATAGCCTTGGCATGGCTTGTCCTCTGACAGCACTCAGAGGTTTTAGTGTGGAGCAGGATCCTGTGGTGCCTCTGACTTAAAGCCTTTGGAATCTGCTGGCTTCAGCAGCTGATACACTGACCAAATTGTGACTATATAGAACACTGGTGAAGATCAGGCACAACAGGTTTCATTATTTGTTCTGAAAGGGATCTTGCAAATACCTGACAAATCCACCTGCACTTTAAACATTACTGTAAAGGATGCAGAACTCAGTTGATTTGTAGGTGGTTTACATTTGCTGCCAGACTATTTGCAGTGGGGAATTGTGAAGTAGTGTTTGCAATTGTAAAGCCTCAGAATTTGAGCTCTAGCATCAGTGCAGTTATGACACAACCCTCTGTGGCACAGGAGCTGCTGTAACACCATCTTCTCATTCATCTGTGGGTATGATTTTGATACAACTCAGCTTTTCTCCATACTTCCAATTCCTTTGGCAGGCTGGAGAAAAGCACCAGACTGTACCTGAGTTCAACAGGACCAGGGGAAGGAGGACTCTACATTCAGACCAAAACAGATCCTTTTTTAGTAGTTGTTTTCTGTTTAGCTGGCCTTTGCCCTAATGAAGTCTGGGAGTGTGAAGTTGGAAAATTACATATTTTGGGAGAGTTCTAAAGAGGATTGTAGATTCTGTGCCTTTGGGTTGACTGCTCAGCTCATGGACAACGTGGATGGGCAATGCTGAACAGAGTGTATCTTCCTGTGAGAACACAGTGGTCAGTGGATCCTGCAGAGACACGTGGGGGTCAGTTAATGTTCATTTTCACTTAGCTGCACTGGGGGGGGAAGAGGGGAAGGAGAAAAAAAGAAGCAAAGGAGTCTTACAACAGTTAGTTCTGCTTGTTGATTGCAGGTTACCGCATGAGATTAGGATCTAGCACAGACAAAAAGGATTCAGGTCGCCTTCATGTTGATTTTGCTCAGGCCAGAGATGACTTTTATGAGTGGGAGTGCAAGCAGAGGATGCTGGCCAGGGAGGAACGGCACCGCCGCAAGCTGGAGGAGGACAGACTGCGCCCCCCCTCCCCCCCGGCCATCATGCACTACTCCGAGCACGAGGCTGCTCTGCTGGCTGAGAAACTGAAAGGTAAGCAGCATTTGGTACTTCTCAGTGTGTTATTCCTGGAAAGCAGGAGCCAGAGAGCTGATTTCTCTCCGAGGTGTTTCATTCCTTGCCCCGTTAGCTCTCCCCTGTCCCTCTTTGACTGGATGTGGGTGCTGATGATACCCAGCTAGCTGCTAGCAGTGTGTTCATCTGCTCATCTGCATCTGCTTTCACAGCTAAAACACAGCCTCCAGAACACTCCAGTGGGGTTTTCCTCTTCAGTTGCTGCCACCATCTACCTTGGAAATGCTCTCACAATAACACAGCCTGTTCCAAACACCCTTCCCATGAAAGGCTTGATTCCTACAACAGCTTTATCCCTTGCCTAATAAGTTCCTATGTTACATGCATGCCACTGCCCCAATTCCTGGCATTTAAATTGCCCTCATGAGCTGCAGTTTAAAGTGTCCCTCAGATGCATTGGTGCAACTCATCTCTGACCCACACCATCCAGAAGGAGATTCCCTCTTTAGGGTTAGAAGTGCTAGTGCAAGGCAGCACCTTTGGTATGGCTTTGCTTGCTTGGTTTTTCCCAGATGCACTTACCAAGTTAACATCTTTCAAGAGTGCAGCTTGAGGATCCCTGTCGTGGTTAACCTAGAAAGTAAGAAGCAAAGAAATAAAATTATTTGTGATAAAGAAATTAAAAAAAAAAATATAAAGCAAACAACTCTTCATACCCCTTGGTGTTGTATCTTTTCGTTAAGTATTTAATTGTTCTTGGCATTCTTTCCCCATGTGGTGGTCAAGCACTGGCTCAGGTCACAAGAAACTGTGATTCTTCAGAACTCCCCAGATGAGGTTTAGGCTGTCTAGCTGCCAGCACACTGGCCTCTGCTCTAACTGTGAAACTCCTTTGGGAAGCTGAAAAATGGCAGTGCAAAGTGTTGTGTCCTTGGAGAAAGGAGCAGAGGTGCACCCTGCTGTCCCTCTGGGTACTGCTCCAGTCACTGTTGTCACTGTCACATCAGGCTGTCAGTGGATTGCCTGGCTGGCTTTCTCACCACATACACTCCTCTCTTAAATACTTCACTGTGTAACTGAGAGGTTGGTGAAATCATCCAAATGGATTGATAGAACAGAAGAAAAGGAGGAAAGAGACCCAAATATATGGATTTTTAATACTTACCTAGCTTCCAGTCCAGCTCCTCTGGAGGCTCTACAATACAGGGTTTTAGGTCCATCTGTTCCCAGAATCTGTTTTCAGTTGAATATTTTAGGAGTTAATCTTTTATAGGGAAGTTTTCCTTATGTAGCAGGGCCTAGAGGTTTCCTGAACTAAGCCAGCAAATGCAAGAAGTCTGGACAATTTCTTCCGTGTGGCTACCCATTGCTTGGGGCAACTGAGTGTAGGGTTTGCAAGATGTTTAAGAGGTCTGTATTTAGAATGTTTTTTCTTTTCATTCTGGCAGGTTTTCATACTTAATTAAAACTTATTCCGAGCATTTAGATTCTTCTGAGGGGCATTTGGCCAGAGCTTGGCATCAATGCAGAAGTTTAATAGAGAAATATTTTGAGCATGATCTAGACCAACACCATGTACCTGCTTGTTTCTCTGGAAACAAAGATAATCTTTCAGAAATACACAGAATGAAATGTAATAAATTAAGAAAGCAAAATAACAAGTTCATTTTTTTAATTGATTAAAAAATCATAGCCAATATCTATAAGGCAGTGGGGTGGAACATTGTGGCCTCTCTTGGGCAACATGGGTTCACCACATTGAGCCCTTTGTGACATCCTGAAAACAGAATTAAAGCCACACTAAAGAAACTTCTTCAATTCTGGCAAAGGGCAGGTCGTGTCATCATACATTCACAATTTCAGTGTAGAGTTCAGAGAAGGTAACAGAAGTTAGATATATGTACACACACACACACGTGTATATATATTTATAAAATATGTAACTTAGGGTCAATAGCTGAGATTTCTGCCTGTCACCACATCTGCATTGCTCCCAAAGCCTGCAGGATTCATCCTGAAGAATCAAAACAGATCTGCTCCTGGCAGGATTCACCTTGAAAGACTGGGTTTTGAGCAGATGTTTTGCAGTTGTTTTAAGGGAAGCCATGACCTCCCTGTGGTACCCACTTCAAAAGGCTCCTGAGCTCTGTTGCCAGCTCATGAGACAGAGCTGTAGGTGCCCAGCGTGCAGGTTTCAGCTCCTGTGATGCCTCCAGAACTTCACTAGGAAACACCAGCTGAAAAGCAAGCCAAAATAGCTAAAATCTGTCATCCCGAGACACTGCCTGGCAATCACAGATGTAGACAACTTGGTCTGAGTCCAAGCAACTTCTGTTGTCAGAATAACCTTGGAAATTCCTGGCAGCAAGGAAGTCTGACAGTAAGCAGAGATGAACTGGGCTCATCAGCCAGTCCCCTGTTGTGGGTTAGATATTTATTGAGTCTATAAGAGAAGTGACAATATTTTTTTTCACCTTCTGCAAACTGCAATATGAGACTTAAAGAAATCATGGGTTTTGTGCAGCAGGCTTGGCTGGAAACTCTGCCCCCAGGGCTGTCAGCACATGCCTGTTCCTCTCGTGCGCTGAAGTCTCCTGGTACAGCAGTGACTGCTGCAGAGGAGAGTGGGTGGGACAGTGGAGAGGACACAGGGGATCTCTTATGGCAGTTGGAAACAAAGGTTTGCTATAAAATCTCAGCCAGGTGGTCTGTGCTGGTGTAGAGCTCCATGGAAAGGAAGAACTGGTTTCTCAGAGTGCTGTAGCTGCTGACTGGGCTGGGAGCTCACTGCACATGCTTGCCAAAGCATGGGAGCTTAGCACCTGCTCTCCATTCCCTGCTCTCTTTGGACCATCCCAAACCCTTCATATCTGCAAAGAACTTGCTTTGGATACTTGTTTTTTGCAGAAATAAGAGAAGCCCATAGAACTGTGAAGCAGGCAAATTTTTTATCCTTTTCCACTTCAGCCTGAGCAGACAGGGCTGGTTTATGGCTATCTTTCTTTTCTCTTCCACTTTCCCTTCTCCTTTTTCCATTTTCTAAGGTCTTCAGGGTCCTGCAGGTGAAATCCTTCATAACTTTCCCCTTGCTGGCAGTTTGGACATGTTTGTCTCTACCTGTTGTGTTGTCAGACAGGAGTGTGTTCACTTCTCTTTCCTGCAGGTGCCTGTGGTGTTGGTCCTGCCCATCACCTGGTGTGCTTTGCTGTTGCCACTCTTCACTACATGGCAGTGATGTGTTGCCAGGATCTTTGGTGTGGGTCTCATGGATTTGAGCCTGTAGCTATAAGAATCTAGGGCTACACCACTGACTCACGTGGATTAAGCACTTTTTGAGCTACCCAGCATTGATAATTTGCTAGTGATGTTCTCTCTTGGTCACAGCCAAAAGGAGGAGAAGCCAAGGAGATGATAGTTCCTGAAAGAGTAGATCTCCTCCACTGGAAAGGGGACTTGTCACAGAATATTTTATTTAAATCTGTTTTTGTACACTCCCATGGGACAGTACCCTGTACTGTTCCTGGGTCCAGCATGTGGAACACAGAAGAGATCCAAGCCTGGATCATCAGAGTGAAATGAGCTCCAGCATTCAGTCTAGATGGGTAACATGGAGCAGAACAGGAGTACCCTCTCACATGAGAGCTGTGCTGATTGCTTTCAGGTTTGTACCACATATTTTAGATTTTCAAGCTGGTTGGTAAGAAAAAAACCACTATTTACATTTGCATGACAAGCTATTTTTGCTTGTTTGGGTTTTTTTGGGTTTTTTTTTGACCTTCCAAACCACTCAAGTAAACAACTAAATCTACTAAAGTAGATTTTAAGGGGAAAAGGAAAATAAAAAATAGGTGTCATTTGTTTAAAACCATAAAGTGAAATTTCCCTTTTTCAGGAGGTACTCTTCAAATCTCCTTTTTGATCCAGATATTCCAAAGTTTGTCACAACACTGGGAATAGTTTCCTGTAACCATTGTCCAATTGCCATAGAATAAGGTAACAGCTGAGCACAACTCAGCTTAAAACACTTCTGGCTTTCTTTCAGTATCCTCCTGCCTCAGGTAAAAGTCTGTGTCTCCTTGAGGAAATATCTCAATAAATTAACAGATGTGAGTTCTGAGAAAGCAAAGGCTTTTACAGGGAAGTGTAAATGTGAATTGCCTTTGAGAATAAACCCTGAGATTTTGCTCTGACAAAACCAGCAGAATTTTGTGTCTTCTGCTATTACCTTACAAAAACGTGACCTTCTGGTCTTCTGCTTCATTGCAGCATTTTGTTTCTTGCATGGCTTTGAGATTTTCATTCCTCAGCCCTAAATCAGATGCATTATTCCTGCACAGTGAGATGTGTCAGTAGATATTGAAGATGAAATTTGCATACTCTGACATCTGTTTTCCTGGGTGCTTTATAGACGGTTGGGTAAAGTGGTACCCAAAACATCTCACAACTGGAGACAGGCTGAACCTTTATCCTGAAGTGGAGTGCTGCACTGTCAGCTGCATTGGAACAAAACATTTTTATCTGTGTGCTTATGGCATTTGCCTTTCAAAGCTGAATTTCCAACATTATGATTTTCTTAATTCAAGCATATCTGTACCTAATGGTGTCATCTGCAGAAATCACTTCTTGCTAATAAGCTCCTTCAAAATACTACATCTGTCTTACCTGCTGTAGGGATGTAAATAGTTCCACCATCTAACAAAGGCATCTCTTTATATCTCAATATCTATTTTTAAAATATTTTAGAGCAAAGGGAACATAAATATCTGCAAGTTGTGTACAGTACCCTGGAATTTACTTTCCTTTTAAATACGGTGTTTCTTCCTGAGCACAGGAAAATCACTCTTACCCTTTTCCATTTTACAAAATATAATTTGAAAAATTGAAAAGCTGCTTCTTTGCCAGGCTCTGTATTATCCCCTGAAGAGAGAACAGATTGGAAATTTAAATAAATAGATGGCAGTTACAGCAGAATGAGCTAACCAGGGATGCATCTTGTGCAAGACTCAGGTAACATCAAG